CTACCCTGGGTCCGCGCGCGCGCGCGTCTTGCTGGCTCTCGGTCTGCCCTAGATTTAGGCGCGCGCGCGCGGACCCAGAGTAGCTACAAGGCAGTTGCCAGGTATAGCACTACAATGGTCCTTTTACCCAGGGTAGCTACAAGTCAGGTACCAGGTATAGCAGCATAGCGCTTGAAGTTCCCTTTCCGTCAACCGCTCGATAGCCTTTAGAAACGTGCAGCAGTCTGCAGTGTTGAAGTCTCACTCGCGCTTTGAACTTTTTATATGTGTGTGCAAGAGGTATAGCAAAATAGCATGTATACGGACACAGGGTAGCTACAATTCAGTTGCCAGGTAAAGCACTTCAATTTCCCTGTCCGTCAACCGCTAGCACTTCAATTTCCCTTTCCGTCAACCGCTAGATAACCTTGAGAAACGTGCAGCAATCCACGGATTTCAAGTCTCATTAGTGTTTTGAATTTATATAGGTGTGTAAGAGGTTGCGCATTCACAGCTGCACGAAGCTACAATACATCGGCGTCGGTAAACGGTGAAGTGAAATAAACAAACGTCTTTACACTTGACGATTCAGCGGAAATGTGGGTTTGGAATATTTGGTCTTGAACATAGAACACCATTGGACATTCGATAGGAATCCCAAATTTTTTGTTAACTATCCTTTTCGCCAGCCCCGGGCCTTTTGTTTGAAGAGAGATAGTAAAAGTGCAGCGGTAGCTACCCTGGGTCCGCTACCCTGGGTCCGCGCGCCTTGCTGGCTCTCGGTCTGCCCTAGATTTAGACGCGCGCGCGCGGACCCAGAGTAGCTACAAGGCAGTTGCCAGGTATAGCACTTCAATTTCCCTTTTACCCAGGGGAGCTACAATTCAGTTACCAGGTATAGCACTTCAAGTTCCCTTTCCGTCAACCGCTCGATAGCCTTTAGAAACGCGAAGCAGTCCACAGCTTTGAAGTCTCATTCGTGCTTTGAACTTATATGTGTGTGTAAGAGGTATAGCAACATAGCATGTATACGGACCCAGGGTAACTACAATTCAGTTGCCAGGTCTAGCACTTCAATTTCCCTTTCCGTCAACCGCTAGCACTTCAATTTCCCTTTCTGTCAACTGCTAGATAACCTTGAGAAACGTGCAGCAGCCCACGGGTTTGAAGTCTCATCGTGCTTTGAACTTATATGTGTGTAAGAGGTTATGCACTCACAGCTGCACGAAGCTACAGCGCATCGGCCTCGGTAAAACACCTTTCATCATTCAGATGATGCAAATGAAGAAAGTTGCATCTGACATCACTAAGTTTCGTGGCTTGTTGCACGCCGCCGATGTTCAGCTGAGCACAACTGAGCAAGTCACTTCGGTCAGCTTTATGTTATTGGTACCAAGAACCCTTAGGGTCATTACCATTTAGAGCGTGAATGAGGCGGTTTAGACATTTGCTAGCCACAAACCACAAGTTCCACAGTGTTTTTGCCGAACGCCAAGATGATAGAAACATGCAACTTCAACTGCTACTGTTCCCTGCTCCCAGTGGCAGTTTCAGTCTATAAGGGATGTCAACCTCTGGTTTCTAGCGTACTGCGGACTTACTTGCGGATTGACCCAAGCTAGTGACAGCAGAGCCCAGTCTCGACACACCACCGGTCCAAGCCTCTTCATCCCACGCACCGGGACCCCCGACTCCGCGCCGGCTCGGACCGGCTCCGCACCGCGGCCTGGCGAAGGCGTCAGGTGCGGGTTGGGCGCGTGCCGTTGAACCGTGCGACGCCGTGCGGCAATTGGAGGATGTTTGCAATTGAGTAACATCCGAAGTGAGAGGGCAAACACTTTGGTGGGATTCCCTCAATTCTTTTAGCAAACCCAGGTGGGACGTGTAGGAGCCGTGGACCCGACATGCCCTCTGGGCCCAGAAAAGGGTGAAGCGTGGTGAAGCACTGCCTCAGCGTCCAGGGTCCAGGACGATCATGATACGACAAGTAGTTTGGGCAGTGCCAAACATTGAATGCTCCCAACATTTGGAGTGAATTGCCAAATTGCAGCCAGGAGTACCTCCAAATCACAGGAGAGACTTGAATGATCAAACAGCCGAGCAAAAACAAGCCACATAAATTTGAAAAGATTCAACATACCAGGCCTTGCAAGGGGTCGTTCATGGACACTCCTTAACAGCTAAGGGGCTATAAATAAACACCCCTTGGAGGGTTCTGGTACAGTACTCAAAAGTCTGGTGAAATGAATATAGAAACACCTCCAAACACCCTATGGCCACTCCTACGGAGTCCGGGGCTGGGGTTGTGAAGAACTCAGACCTGAGACCTGGATCTGAACTGACCCCGACAGTTTGGTTTCCATCCTGTATGTTGCAAACGTCAATGTGACACTTACGGTCCATTCCGTAAGTGACCGTATACACTTCTCGGGAGAGTACTCTGATATGCACAGACGGTATTTCTTGGTGAGACAGGCCATGTGGTGCTGAAGTTCGGACGGTCGGTTTTGTGCTTTTTGTCTGCCCGGATCCCAGGCGCCGATTGGAGCGTGCGAGCTCTTTGCTTGCCTTGATGCTGCGGATGCAGTGCAAGTCAAGGTATTTCGTGGGTTCATTCATGGGACACGGGCCAAAGCCAGGCAACGATTAAGACTCAAGAAAAAATTTGCCTTGACACGGGCCAAAGTGACCACAGAAGGGATACCTTTGAAACAGAAACAATGTTTTCCTTTGTGATGTTGGCAAGTGTTCTCAACAAGTTTGAAATATAAATATCTAAGCATGTCTAAGACATGCAGCATCTAGCTGGCAACCACATCACCACACTATCAACATCATATTTGTATCCCATCCTTTTCCACTCTGCCGACACCCATCAACCTCCATCGACTACCTCGTGTACCCACCGGCGGCGAGCCATCCTTGCTCCGCTTTCGCTTCTCAGGGCTTCTCTTCCGCCGGGACTCCTGTGACCAGAGGTGAAGACAGGAGGAGGGGGGGACATCACCGGGAAGACGCCGCAAGTCATCCAAAATGCGTTGCTTCATTGGGACGCAAATCATCCAAAATGGCCAACTAACTACTTTGAGTGAGTTTACTCATGAGGGCCCTGAAAACACATCAGCAAAAAGGGGATAAGAAGAGAAAACAAGATGGAGCCAACGAACCCGAATGCAAACACGATCGAAAAGTTACATATGTCCAAATGACACCCTTGTAGGACACTCTTGTGGGACACTCTTGTGGGTCACTCTTGTAGGACACTCTTGTGGGACACTCATATAGGACACTCTTGTGGGACACTCTTCTGGGACACTCTTGTGGGACACTCTTGTAGAAAACTCTTGTGGGACACTCTTGTGTGTCACTCTTGTGGGACACTCTTACAGGACACTCTTGTGGAACACTCTTAAAGGACACTCTTGTGGGACCCTCCTGTGGGACACTCTTGTGGGACACTCTTACAGGACACCCTTGTGGGACAATCTTACAGGACACTCTTGTGGAGACTCTTGTGGGACACTCTTAAAGGACACTCTTGTGGGACACTCTTGTAGGACACTCTTGTGGGTCACTCTTGTAGGAAACTCTGGCGGGACACTCTTGTGGGACACTCATACAGGACACTCTTGCGGGACACTCTATCTGGGACACTCGTGTCAAACACTCTATCTGGGTCACTCTATCTGGGACACTCTTGTGAGACACTCTTGTAGGACACTCTTGTGGGACACTCTTGTGGGACACTAATACGGGACACTCTTGTGGGACACTCTTGTAGGACACTCTTGTGGGACACTTTTGTGGGAGACTCTTGTAGGACACTCTTGTGGACACTGTTGCGGGACACTCTTGTGGGACACTCTTATCGGACACTCATACAGGACACTCTTGTGGGACACT